TATTGATATTTATTATTCGCGAATTTAATATCCGGCTTTATCTGACATTTATTTATATTGGCGACAGTTGTTTACCCTGTAATCACAGTAACAATATATTTACTTGATTATTCTGAGAAAACCGCGCGCTTGGTATTTTTTCGTTAAATGTAATATTTTAGGTATGTTCAGAACGAAACAGAGATTTATTAACTTTGATCGAAATATGATGGTTGTAAATAAAATAGTATACAAACCTCGGTAGGAAGTTTCAAACTCACAACAGGAATGAAACTCTTCCCACCTCGGTGTGTAATATACTATTAAAGGGTGATTAATCTGCCGTTTAATGAGATTTGATTCACAGAAACTTATGAAAGAATAATATAAAATCTGATCTTTAGAATTAGTAAATAAGATTAGTAAAGATAGATGGTGCAGAAATATGCAAAAGCCATACATGGAGCAAACCGGACACCTTGAAAATTTATAATTCATTCTGAGCCTTTAATTTTAGTCCGATTTTGTGAAATTTTCAGGAAATACCAATAATAACAAAACTTAGGGTGGATAAACCTTGAATTTTTTGTAAATCTTCCAGATTATTTATATTGAAAAATTTTAAAAAGAATTTAAAAAAAGATTTACGCGCCATTCTGTATTAAATCTATAAAATTACTGCTATTTGTTTTAATAAATATCTAGTAGTTTTTAAATGGAATGCTTTCCCACCTTTTTTTCTTAACGTCTGTAGAGTGTGATACCTTATCGTTGCACAAATTTAAAGGTTTCAATATTGTCAAGACACATAATATCACAAAGTATTCCCAATGGCACGCATATAAATACAATTTTATATTAGAAAATCCTTAAAACAGTTTTGCTTTCGTGAGAAGTCCGGTTTCCTCTTAATAATTTTGACCTCTATACTTGATGAAAATCCATCATTGTGCGATTAGAGTATATTCTACAGGAACTCTGGAATTTTAGGAAATAATTTTTATTTAACTAGGTACCTCATAATAAAATGTTTTATACATAGTTATAGTGTTTCGTTGCAGAATTTCTATATTCAAAGCTTTAAGTATTTCACCCTAAATCTTCAAATTAAAACTAATAAGGACTGTTAAATTTGGAATGAAACATTTTCCTAAGATTGAACATATTTTCAAAAAAAATATATATATTTTTTTAATTCGATAGGAAACTCTATTTTATTACTACAAATTCTAAAAAAATACAAATATTGTGCGACCGTTAAAATTACCCAACAACCATTAATATTAATGACTACCACATACCTACTTATTACAAGACAATAATATCCAGGAAACCACTCACTATCAACGTCACAGTTAATGCGCCTTATTTTAGAAAACTAAAAACCACTTAAAACTATTATTTTTATCCGACACAAACCACAAAATAGAATATCTCATACACTGTTACTGTTAACTATCGTATCGTATGCAGCATTGAAAATTATTCACTGCAATACAAGAATAATTCATGTGGACTCCACTCCCCTCCTTCTAAAATAGTCCGTGGGCTTGCGTTTGATACACATAAGTTTAATTAAGAGGTTAATATTTTTTCACCGAATCACAAGGTCAGATTAATTGTAAGGAAAACCATTGTATTAAAATCATAACGGCAAAATTATTTTCTGTAAATAACTCAATTATTATAAATATGTTTTCGTTTTTATGCTATGCTTCGGATGAGCAGTTATGCATATATGCACAATAAAAAAGTACCACTCTTTTTTAAATAAATCTTTTTCCGTAAGATAAAATTGAGAAACCATTAAATATAAATTTTTTAACTCGTTTTTTAGATGTATCAAAGAACCCTATGAACAAAAACGTCATATAATTTTGGCTTTTTTCCTTTATATTTGTCGGCTATAAGCAGTTTATGTTTAAACAGAGTAGAACCAAATTTGCAATAAAAAATCTTCGAAATTTGATAATATAATTTTGTTTTGAGACGTTACCCCTTTCACCGTCTAATTAATAAATTTGATGTCATTATCATTTTAAATTTTAGAGTTGTCTTTACGGGAAACGAAAATTTTTTAGTTTGACTTCGACTTTGATTTTATGTATTTCTCCTAAAGTTTTATTTAGCCAACCTCAAGAACCACTCCATATAAACATTTAAAATTTGGCATATTTTAATGCTGTAGAAACACTAATTAAAATTTAGATCTGACAAAATTTTGAAATTTCTTTGGGGTCTTTTCAAATTTGCGCATTTTAGAAGTCCTAATTTTTTAAAATAATTTGCCAACTTTTGACAAAATGTTTGAAATTATTTAGATGTCCTTAGTTAGCAAAATCATAAATTTTTAAATATCATATAAAATAAAAAAAATATGGAAATTAAAAGACTTTCAAATTGGCAGGAAAATTTAATTCATAATACTCATACAGTTAGCCTAGAAAATTGTCAAAAAAATTAATTAATTTATTTAGTAAATAATGATCATGATTAGATTAGATTTGAAAGGAGTTGGACATTATTTGTCCTTTTTAACCGTGACCTATTGTGAGGCTCCGTTTTTTTAGATGATGTCTAGCTAGATCTCTTTTATTAGATTTAGTAGCTTTGACATGTAGTCCCATACCTCTAGCTTTTCTTAGCCTAATGTTATAAACCTCAATCCAGCCAAGGTTTCACACTGGTACAGGATGTGGATTGATGTTTTCTCTTCTTCTTCACACAACCTGCACTCATATGCCTTTTTAGGCGACAGTGTCCGGTAAGAATACCTACTGTTATCATACAGATTTGACGTTTTTGATCCAGTAGGTCTTTCATGAACTTGGCTGATGGTCCCTTGATGAACTATTTGACCTGTCTCACCATTCCTGAGACACTTTTTGCATCCATTGGTTGATGGATGCCTTGCACAATGCCTTAGCAACCCCACAATATCTGGGGCCTGTCATAGCCTTATTTGAGCCTTCTCGGGCTAATTAGTCGGCCTTTTCGTTGCCTTGATATCCCTCGTGGCCTGGCACCCAGGCTAGGGTCACCTCATTTTAACTACTTAGCTCTGCCAGGGCGTCTAGGCATCTCTCACCAGTCGTGATTTGATTTCTGATAACAGAATGGAAATGCCAATTTTATCTACCCATGTTTTTATTAATACATTGAATTAGGTCAATAGAAAATGTATTTTAAACAAATCAATGTACTTACTTATGGTAAATATTATTATTATTTTAAGCAGAAGCCCTCGAGTTGAATTGGCCACTTTAAAAAAGAATTGCAGGAAGCAGCTGATTCCCAAATATTAGGTAATAAATACAGATATGTATGTTTCCCTTCATTTTCTAATTTACTTTTGACATTTTATTTATATTGAAAAAATAAAGGTGTTCACAAACATTAGCCCTCTGGTAATTTTACCAAAATACATTTAATTATTATATACTCATTGAACCACTTTATGTAATATATTGAAAAACGTTTTTTACTAGCTTTTTAATGATATATGACCAGTAGAAGTAGGTGGGGTGCATAGGAGGTTGATGTAGGTGAGTTTTGTATTGTCATTTAAATTCCCCCTTAATATCCTAGAAACGGTCTTATATCATTTTTAATTCATGATATATTGCCATTGTAAGCTTTTAAATGCTCACCCTCAGAGCTCTGCAGAGTACTGCATTAAAGTACTCACGAGTGCTTCACAATGAGTAGCTTTGCAAAGTCATAACTATCTGAGTATGAGTACTTATATGAATAATGCTCTAAGTAAATGAGTACTTTAGCAAATTTTATAGAGTAAGGAGTATGAGTATTTTAAATAATTCAAATTAGTGACTCAAGATTAGAAAGAATGGATTATAGTAATTCATAATAGCATGTCAATAAGTAACAAATAAAAACGATCGTATCACTTATCTTCTATCAATTAGTTAGTACTTGCCATTAACGTGTATGCCTAACTTTTGCATGTTAATGTTTAAGTAAAGTAATAAGGGTATTAGATAGAGGTCCCTACAGGTACAAAATACTTGAGAAAAAACAGTATATATTTTAAAACTGTATATACATCAATGGTGTAACACTACTAAAAAGAAATATAAAATTTAATTAAGAAAAAATAATGAAATATGAACCAGTAAGTCAGTTTCATTTGGTTATTTAAACGATTTATAGGTACAGCTTGAGTAACAAAAACAACAACTAGCTAAAAGTAATTCTTCAACAGAACTAAGTCTTCAAAATTCATGTCACTCAGGGTATTACACTGGAGTATCTATTATCTTTGCATACAAGAATAATCTTTTAACCAGTGCAGACAAAGGTAATGGTGTATTTGTATAGGTATAAAAATATAAAATATTAATAGTAATATGCAGTTCTGTGAGTAAGACAACAAACAAAAAAACTGAGGCTTGCTTGGGTCTGTGTACACATTGGTATACATACTTATTAGCTATAGCAGTTAGAAACAATGAGTACTCTAAAATGAAACATACTCGAAATTTTTTCAAGTACTGTCCCATCAGGATGAAAGTACTCACTAGTACCCATTAGTGAGTACTTTGGGTACTCAAGTACAATTTACTCTAGTACTGCCCAGTTCTGCTCACCTCATATATATCTGACCAGAACCTCCCTTAGTTAACTCTAGTTGATGAGACAAGGCATTTTCAAATATTAGATAAAAATGTATTGTTGAAAGACCTTAATTTATTGGACTAGAAATATTGGTTTACTGAAGCACCTATTTATATAGTTAGGCTGAGGTATATTGTTTTTAAGAGGTTATCAGTATTAATCTAAATGCCTCTTCAGTTAAATACAACTATGTAGTTCTGGTTTGGAATTTGTAATTTTAAGTGATAAAATTAATTAAGCAAATTATAATGGAATTTATATAGAAACGATTAAAATTTAACAAAGAAAAATGTATTTGAACATTTAACTTACGTACGTATATTAACTGTTGGTTAAATACAACTTATAACTCCGAATATACTAAATAAATCATATGAAACACTTACCTAAGACATGGAAATTGATTTGTTGTGAATGTGAATTAAATGGAAATTGATTTCGACGTATGGTTGTTATGGTAACTGCCAGTTTTATGTCAATGTCAATTGATGACACTGATGCGTTCGGGCCGACAACTTGGAGTAGAATTAACGCAAGAGTACAATTTGGTCACATGGCATCATAGTCAATTAGGCATTCCAACGACCTGTCCGAATGGCTACCAGTGGGTAATGACAGTTTAGATATGGCAATCCTGTTGTCATGTTGTCATTAACAGGGTCAATGATACATATATAGTTATATAGTTTGCTTAAAGCTGGTCGTTTACGAGCGGCCATATTGCCTGGCAAATATTTATTAATTTGAATCGGTTTAGCAAAAATATCTTTTAAAACAAATTTTTAGCCTTTAGATATTTAAAAAAATATAATTGCTTACATTTTTACTTCAAGGCATAAGCTTATGTTTATTTTGAAAAATATGGATAATCAATCTATGTAACTATCTATTTCATTGACCTTGTCAAATCACCAGGCCTACAGGGTTGCCATAATTTTGCCATATCATAACCCGTCAGAACCCACTGGTAGACATTCAGTTTGGAATGCCTAATTAGGCATTCCAACGACCTGTCAAACAATAGGTGCCAGTGGGAAATTCTTGTAAATCTAAGGGGGTAGCGACATAGTCTTGCAACTTGGACGCTATTTTTATTCAAAGTAGTAGTCGCCAAGCCTGCCAATTTATGAAGAAATGTATAGGTGGGTTTTTTAAATATTATTTTTATTGTGTTTGACATAAAATATTTAAATGTAATCCATTATTTATGATTTTACGTAAAGTAGATAGAATACACCATATGTCGCCACCCTTAGATATACCAAACCTGCCCACTGGTAATTCATTTGTTTGGAATGCCTAATAGAGCACCTCAAGTCTATTGACATATTGACAAGCATTCTACCCCGCTCCAGTTCATTGGACTTACCCAAGTCCGACTCGTGTAAGTTCTGTTTATAAATACTGGCCTTAGAACCAATATAAACTGAAGTTGGGTAGAAAGCCAATGTGCATATTGTATCAATAGAACAAGATGCGACTCTATGGGTGCAGCCATTTTTATTTCTCATCTCACTCGGGAGTATCTATAATAACCATCATCTGTTTCACATTGTTATGTTGTTATTGTTCAATCCACAAGCTGGTGGATCAGACAATAACAAAGTGAAATAGAAAATAGTTGTTATTAATACTCCCGAGTGAGATGAAAAATAACCTGTCTTCGCCCATAGAGTCGCATCTCAAGCCTATTGACAAGCATTCTACCCCACTCCAGTTCATTGCTTAGAACAAGCGTTCCGTGCTTAGAACCGATCGGACCACATCGGACGAACTCCACACGAACTGACATAAGTTTAAATTTGACATTGACATTAGTGTATGTTTATATTTTTGGAATATTTATTTCCCGGTTAATTTTAGAAGGCAAGATGAAGAATCTTATCTTTGATTTTTTGTCGTGAAAAGTTATGGAAAAAAATAACAATGGAACGCGTTCATTCCTCAAGCATTGATTCCGAATTTGATCTCTACATAAAAACAAACATCAATTATGTTATTTCAGAAACATGGAATTTACGAGATACACGGGATGAAATTTTTAGATCGCGTGAATTACTAAAGACTATTGAGGTAAATGACTAAGTTTTAACATTAGTTGAAATATGAATCATGGTATATAAATAAATTAAAAATAAAAAACTTTTGGACACAAGAAATTCATGATTTACATTCCTAAGCTTTAAACGTTTTTAATTTTGGTGAGAGGGATTTGCAATTCCTGTATATTGCAATGACCTATTGTACTTCATTGTGTCTTGTTAGTATTTTAAACTCAAAAACCACACGGTTACAAAGTAGCAAAGTTCAAAATAAAAATAATATGTATGTGTTATATGTTATAATTAACTTTAAAAACATTTTTAGGATAACTTATTTCCAAATAATTACAAGTCTTTAGCTTTGGAAAATGCAAAATTCATTTTTGATATTATGATTGAAGATTTTGCAAGGTGGACAATAAAGAAAGCAATTTTGAATATCTTTGATAACTGTCTTGATAATATGACCGAACTTGAGAGATATAATGTATCAAAGAATCTATTGAGAAGAAAAACCGACTTATATTACCTGTAAGTTTATTTTTTTTTATATATTTTACAGTGTTTATAAGAAAGCCCAAATGTTTCTCTGTTGCTCGAGCTGTTGCCTAAAAGAATAAATGTAATTTTTTTATTTGACATATTGAAAAAATGTAATTATGTGTACTGGTGATTTTTGTCACTGAATATCGTCAATTAAATTATATAGGGTTTCTAGGCTTTGCATACCACAAAGTTACTGTAGGTAACTCCAAAACAATTTGAAATTTTTTTGCTACAAAAATTTTCTCCATTAAAAAGTTTCTCAAGAATGTAACAATTTGGAATATGTATGTCAAATTATTGGTTAAGCCACTATTAAAAGAAAAGGGCCATTTTTTTAACAGATCTAAGATTAGGATCAAATTCTATAAAATATTCTTCTATTATATCTTCTATTTAACCGAGATAATTTATTCCTGAATTTACATTTTAATTTTTAATAGTTTAGCCTCTACAGCTGACAAATTTTCCATTCTTCTTTCATTGGGACAATTGCTATACTTAAGTACCTATAAATTATCCAACTTGCATACTGATTGAAAGATTGTGAAGTAAAAAAAATCCACATTATATTATAATAACACTGCATAGATATTTACATTTATGACATATTATTCTGTGTCTGGTCACTGCCACAGATGTATTTTAAAAAAATATTTCACAAAAAATTAAATTTTACTTATTTCTATTTCAATTAATTGATGCAAACTTTTAGTTACAAACTTATAGATCTCTTAGGCGTTTATGGTGATTATGATTTTCAAGTTTTAATAATTAAAATAATATTTAGAACATTCGAGACACATAAGTATGAGATTACCGAGCTTATTCCTGAATCAGAAGATCTTCAAAATAAATTTTTAGAGATAACTATGGAAAATATTGATTGTTCTACTAGAACGTTTTTAAATGGTTTAAATCAAATAAGCCAAAAGATTTTCTCTGTAAAGTGTCAGACTATTAGACTTGGATCTATTGAATGTGTGGTAAGTACCTTCCAAGCTATCAAGAGTTAATTTTATTTTCGAATATACATAGTTAAAATTTGTGTATATCAATACCGGATTGTTCTATAGGTTTTTGGCTAGCTAATATCTGACAAGATGAAATAAAAAATGGTGTCTAGGGGATAAAAAATGTTTTTTAGCTTGAATTCAAATAAATCAGCACCTTAAGAACATATTGATTAAATTTGGGTTACCTAATGAAATAATTTCTATAGTCAGTCGTTTTTTACAATTTTCACCATTAAAGTCTAAAAAAAATGTATGATAATATCACTGAAAGTTTTTTTTTAATTTGCCATTCAAACTAGTCTCATGGAGTAACCATTAATTTTGTTCTGAAACAATATTAAACTACTTAAGTACCTATCAACTAAAGTCAATCCACTGATTTCATTAGATTGTTCTTGTTGAATTACATTCAACAAGTTGCATTCATTGTTACGCTCAATATTGCATTAAATATACACCAGGCCTTCATTCTCGATTTTTTTTACTACTGGAGACGTGTCTGTAAGCAGCACTGCCTTGGTCGATAAGAAAGGTCTCCCAACAAATAACTACGTCACAAACATCATTTACTTATTGTCCACTTCTCATTGGTTACCGCCATACAACGCATCCACTTTCATTGGGTAGCGCCACAGGCGTTATGCACTTCCTACTGATTAACGCCAAGCGTTAAGCTTGCTTAGCAACTTCTCTCCCGCGCAGAATGAGATCATCATCAAACACAACACAGCGTTTTGTGGTGTTAAAAAGGCGACGCTTCGTCCGCCATCATGTAACATAACTCTTATACATTAAAAATGACTTAAGTAACAAATTTCCTAGAGAAATACTGTAAATAATGTAAAAAGTATTTAGTCTTAAGTGCAACATGTAGTGAAAAATATAATCATCCCATTAGATGAGGCTGAAGCTAGCAGACAAACTAGCAGACAAACCGCGCGGCGGTCCCTTTATGTTTTGATATTGTTATTCGGCAAAATCTTTGGTTTAGGTGGACTTTAGTATCATGAAAGTTTAGAAATAAATAAATATTAGTGTATTTATTGAAAAAAAGTATTAATTAAATTTGAATTATTAGTAAAAATAAGATAATCTTACACAAAGACGGGAACGAAACAACCACATTTAAAATGCGATTATAAATATAATTTTTATATAAAATATTCATTAGATTTTTATTAATTGATTAAACAAAAAATTATGGTTGAGCAATGTTTTAAAATATATTTTTTTGGTCTTTTTAAAGTCAGGTGTTTTGTCGTTAAACGAATATAAGAACAAAAAGACCAAAAAAACACATTTAGCACGAGATTACAAATACAATTTTTATACTAATAATTTAGTACACCACTAGCTATAAAACAAATAAAAAATCATTAAATAGCAAGGCATCTAAATATAGTTTTTAGATCATTAAAGTCAAGCGTTTCCGCGGATAAATATTACTCAATGAAACCAACAAAAACAATCATTTAACACGAGAATCTAAATACAATTTTTATACCAAAGATTCAATAAACAAGTATCAATAAAAAAAATAATAAATGATCAAATAGCAAGATCTCTAAATACATTTTTTAGGTCTTTAAAAAATGTAAGATTCCGCGGATAAACCTTATTTTATCAAAATGACAAAAACTAATATTTAGCACGAAAATCCAGGTATAATTTTTAGTATGAATGATTCAATACATTATTATAATTCAAAAAAATAATAAATCATTACATAGCAAGACCTCCACATACGTTTTTTAGGTCTTTAAAATGGCGCGATTCCGCGGATAAACATAACTTTATCAAAATGACAAAAACCAATATTTAGCACGAAAATCCAG